TATGTGACAAGAGAAGAAATATAGAAATGGCCAGTTGATTTATACCAATATTCTATTACCTTTACACTTTATTAAGTGCACGTTAATGACAGTTAATGACAGTTCTGACAGGTTAAAGTTCACACAACATGTTACGTAGAGAAGCTGGGCCCTAACCTATGTTATACTTCTTAGGATATTTGACTCTGGGCTAATAATTTTGCAAAGTCAAAACTACATGCATCAACAGAGAGGAGGATACTGAAACATACATTTCTATAGCCAGCTGCTTTATTTATATGCAATCTGTTTAACTACCATACTGTTGCTGCAGTGGAGTTTCTCTGCATATTGTGTTACTCAGGGGAGCAGGTGAAGGTTAATGATGAGGAGAGGGGCTGTCAGGGAAAAAGTTGTATATAACTTTCTTCACCAATAAACAGGATATACAAGATAAGATCGTGGTAGATTGGTAAAGCAATATGATAGAAGGGGTTTTTTTATGAGCAGTAAGAGGCTAGGCCAGCAGCTAGTGAGCTATTTACCAATGAATGTCAAGGAGTCTCTGTGATATGAGCCAAAGTTAGGAAATCTCACCTTCAGCTGTCCCACAAAACAGAATGAGCATTGCTAGCCCCACTGGAATAGCATCTTAGGCTAGGAGAACAGCAGACTGCAACCATCGAGAGAGAAACAAACAGAAAAGACTGACTGAAGAGGAAGACTAGGCTAAATCTGTTCATTGTTTTTGCCTGGGACAAATATGTCCGTGGGAGTCCTCTTTCCTGGTGAGCATTACCTGGTGCTGCCTGTGGCCTGAGACACGTAAGGGGATCGGTGTGTTACTGCAGGTCTCCCTTCACGTTCAGCCCTGCATTCCTAGACCCACTTCCCCTCAGCATTTTCAAAGCCTCCTGTTGGAGCAGAGACTTGTGTCTTTCTCTACTTCTTTTTTATAAGTTATATTTCATTTTTTTTCGGAAATTTTCTTGCTAGTGACCTTAAGCCATTCACAGCTGCAGGTGCTGCACAGCTGCTGATTAACCTCCACACATCCAGATCCATGCTGGATCTATTCCTGGGACCTTTTCAACATCCAGCGTCTGTCATCCTTGGTGCTGTGCCCAGAGGAGAGAGAACATCTCCAAGAAGTGTGTTAGTAGGGGATCAAGTGTATTTCTCACATTAACTGACGTCAGAATTTGCTTTTACATAACTGTCTCCTCCATAATTTCAAGCACAGTGGTATATGTGTAGAGAGACAGCGAGAAGTGAGAGACATTATCCGGCAATACTTTGGGCTAGGGCTTTCAAACATATCTGTAACAACTGCGTTGGCCAAGTCTCTTACGTGGCTCTGGATGTAACAGCCTTGCATTTTTCTTGGCACACAGAAAGAACAGATGACCTTTTTATGAAAACAGATAAACTTTTGCTTCTTTTGCTCTATCACATGGGTACAATTCAGCTCTGTCCAGCAAATTTTGTCATTCTTAGTCTCTGTCCAAAAGGGGAATGAGCTGTGACCAGCTGAGTAAGAACTACTTCTTGAGAGGGTCATGAAACAAAATAAAACCTCTGTTTATACATATATACTTATAGTAAATATATTAACTTTCATACATATATATTGCATGAATGGATATACTTTCCTGTGCAGCATTAAGCATGTGCAGAATTCTGTGTCTGTGCTATGAGGAATCTTTTGAAATTGTTGCAGAAAAAAGCGAGATATAGATTGATGGGGATAAAAATGTGAGGGAAGTTAGTTAAAAAACTTTCTCCAGGGTTTGCAGATAGCACATCTTTGGAAAGATGGGCTCTGTAGCTGAATTTTTGACTCTACTGAAATGAATAACAAAGCTTTCTTTAACATCAAGTAGCAAAGAAAGGACTTTTCTTCCCCACAAAGAGTTGACTTTCCACAGCAATTTTTTTTGTTCATCCATAAAAAATTCTCAGTCACCTTTGGCATTATTATGACCTTATTAAAACATACAAATATATGTTAGCAAGTATGCTGAGTTCATCTTTGCCTTTGGAGGACTTAAAACCATATTGGCACAAGGTCACAACTGGTGACTGGCAGCCTGCTTTTATAAACAAAGTCATGACAGCTTTATAACCATATAATGAATGAGTGCAAAAGCAATTCAAAAACCCAGTAACCTCAGCTGGCCCTACAAAGGGCTCTGGCACACAGCAGGTGGGGCAGCATTTTGAAGAAGACTTCTAACTCTGGTTACAGAAGAAAAGCAGGAGGGAATAAAAAGGAAGTTCAAACAAATGTGGAATTTCTCTGCCCACTTATAAGGTCTCGTGGCTCTCAGTTACGAAAAAAAGTCATGCTTAAATACATCCAGCCTAACCTTACTGAAAAACATCTGTGCTATCTTATGGTGCGAAAAACAAGTACAGAACAAATGTGGTGGACCTAGCCCTGGCTGAGCTGAGGAGACCCTGCGGCAGTGCTTTTGGCTCTACCCGTTGTCTCACTGCTGATCTGCGTGTTCCTGTGTGCTTCTCTTTCCGAAACCTGCACCTCCCCATAGGCCAGGAGCCTCTCCTTGGGCTCCTCGCAGGAGGTCCCTTCTGCAGGCAGCAGATGCTGTAGTTACAGAGGAGGGTTTCTTCCTCTTGAGTGGGTGACTCTCAGTTCTCTGAGAGTCAAAACAGTCAGGTTGCCTGAAATCCTCCTCAAAACAGCATCTTTTCTACAATGTCTTTGAGAATCGATGGAAATCTCAGTCGTGACTGTCGTTTAGGGCTGACTCCTGGTTTGTCTCTGCCTCAACCTATCCATACCTTCTCTTCCTCATCTTCCTCATCTGCAAAATGGGCATGTGAACAAAAGGGCTACCATTTGTCTCAGACCCCAGGATATATCCCAGCATTTTGTCTCTGCAAATAACCGACAAAGATGGAGAGAAGTCTTGGGCAGGAGTAGTATGATCCTTTCCCGGATATATTGTCCCAGTCTTTGACACCTGACAGACTTGGGAAACCCCTAAGGCAGAGCTAACTTTTGGCCCTTCACAGTTGAAATCTACTGGTCAAGTTAGCCGCCAGCAATAAGTCTAACGCCGTTTTGACCTCAATGATATTCTGGCTTCACCAAATCCCATGGTAACGAATTCCAAAATGCAGTCTCAGGCTGGGTGGAGAGCTTGTCCTTTTCTGTTATTGTTAAGCCTTCTGGCTAGTAATTTCATTGAATGCCTCACTGCAACTATATTGAAGGAAATTATAAACATCAAACAACAGATTTAACATACTTAGCCAGTATGAGGGTCATTTTTTTGTTTATTCATGCTTTTCAGGATTTTTAGCTGTTTCAGGGTAAGCCATGTTCAGCATAATGCTTTAAGTCCATCTGACTTTCACTGGTTAAAAGTTCTGTGAAACCCAAGTCCCTTCATAGATCTATTTTTCCTCTCATTTCTTTTTTCTTCCTGCTGTCCAGCTGTCTCAGCAGCAACATTCCCAAGCCCATTGCTTTTTACTCATCCCTTTTATCACACTGCTTCCCCCATCCCCATCGCTTTGCCCTTCCTGTGACAGTTTGCTTCTTTCTGCTGGTCTTTGGTCACAGGCAGTTCTGCTCCGAGTGACCATGACATGACAAAGTGCATTTATCGTCTTTCAAGGAATTCCAGATCAACTTCTCTCAGTTTACAACGAGGAAATTATTTTTCCATTCTCAAGAGGACCCAGAGATCAAGTTTTGGAATTTTTTCCTGATTTTTGCACCATCATTATTAAGAAGTGACAATAGCTGTATCGAATTACAAGTTATTTCCCATAATTGCATACCATTCCAGAGTGCTAAAAGCAGCAAACTGGGTGATAAACACCTTTGCCCATTTGACTGGAATATAGCTGAGCATTATGTTTACTTAGAAACTCTGTTCCAGTGCCTGTCTAACTCTTGACAGCTGATTCTGCTGCTTGCTTTTCTCCTTAGATCACTGTTAGCAACGAAGAAGTCAGCAATCCCTCATTTCAGGATCTGGTTAGAACTCCCCAGATGAGAAGAAACACACTGATTCTGATGTACGCCTGGTGAGTGCGCACGTCAGTGTGATTTATTGGAGGGGTGGGGTGTTTTGAAGAATAATTCCCTTGTGACTTTTAGATTTTTTCCGGCTGCTTACAGTCATTTTTTTTTCCTCTCAACATTTTTTCCCTTTGCTATTTAGGTTCACAAGTGCCCTGATCTACCAAGGGCTTGTCATGCGCCTAGGAATTGTTGGAGGAAACCTCTACCTAGACTTCTTCATCTCAGGAGCTGTGGAACTGCCTGCGGCTCTCCTAATTTTAGTGACAATTGATCGCATTGGACGGCGCCCTCCCTTCGCCATAAGCAATATCGTGGCGGGGGTCGCATGCCTCATTACTGCCTTCTTGCCAGAAGGTAACTCCCTTTCTTTCTGTTCCCTTCCCAACACTAGCCTCTTTAGGTCAACTACTTCTCTGTGACACCCCTTGAGTAGGAAGCCACACAAAACTGTAGATAAAAATAAAATGTGTCCTGTAATGCAAGTGACACCACAGTTATGCGACAATATATCTTATTTGCTCATGGATTGCCCTGGAACATACAATGGCCATGTCTTTGATGGGTAGTGAGCAACAGGTGGATGTAGTTTGGAAAGAGATGCGTATAAAGGCCCTGTCCTGTTTTTGAAGGCAGAAGCAGGGGTAGGGGACACAAATGTAAGGGAAGAACAGAACACATTCCCCTACTTGGAAGATACTTATGATGTAAGAAATCAGTGATTTAGCTGTGACAACATTATGGTCTTCTCATCTCTGGATAAATCAATGCGTAGAAGAAAAATACACTGCCTAACCTCTAAAGATCTTCATCCAGATTGATGGCTCTTCTGGCATTACCAGGCTGTTTCAGCAGCCCAGAGGTGCCAGGCTGTAACGTGCTCTGCCTGCTCTTCAGTTGGACTCCCAATTTCTTCCCAGTCCACAACCTCTATATGGTGTGGGGGCTGCGGCAGGCAACCTGGAGATGGCTTCCCTGCCTTCACCCTCCCAGTGATTTGGGTGATGTTGAGGGAATAAAGTAAAGCTTTCAATTAAATCATTGTTATCTGACTTCAAGGACAGCTAAAGGGTCTGATACTGCATTCAGGCTTTCCAGCACTCCTTTCTTTTCTTTAAATTGTTTTCCCTCCTGTGTAGCTATTTAACTATATCATGAAGCGCATATCCTCAGGGAAGCACTTAGAGGTGCTCTGCACAGAGCATTACCACATCAGCATGCTTTGCCTTAGAACTGCTAGGAACTAGCAACTGAATCGGTATTAGAAAGGCTTATTCCTCCTCAGGGTTATTTCCATCAAAGTGAAGTGACAGTCCTGGCTAGCCTTAGAGGTGCTGATTCCGGAAATTGTATCCCATGGTAATAGTTTTCCTAGAGAAGACCCATGAAAAGCCTCTTCAAGAGTACTGGCCCATGAAAACAGGCGGGTTAGCTGTGCGTGCTGAAATCCTTCGAAGAGGTGTGTTGGTTCACTCCCTTCTCTTAAGCTCCCTTTACAGAGATTCCTCCAAAAGTATGCAAAGTTAATACTATATGTTTGAGGAGCTCCATTGCTTCAACAAAAGGAGAAACAATGTGACAGGGAAATGGGATGAGGCAGTCGAGGATCTGGTCCTGGACCTGGCCCTCGTGGCTTTGTGACTTTGCCCTGGGATGCTGTATTGTTGTCACTTGTTTAAGTTCATCAGTTTGACAACTGCAGTCCATGGAGTTTCGGCCTGCTGTCCTGAAGTATTCTCCTTGTGACCTCCTGAGTCCCTGCTGCTTTGAGCCTCTCCAAAGAGCCACAGTGCACCATGAGTGGATACCAGCAGAGCACTGCTGCTGGTGCCAGCTCCCTGCTCTGTGGGGCCCTGGGGCCATTTTCTCCATAAGCACAGCATTTTTGGGTTCAGAGGGCCTGGATAAGCACCCGAGATTTCTCCCCTGTCATCTGTTTACTTTGCCAGCACCATTTTCTACCTGTGAAAGTGATACAAAGGATGCAATGGGGCAACAAGGACTGAGGACTGTTCATTGTCCAGAGCAGAAGGAGAAAACAAAGAATGACACTGTGGAATTATTCCTTCAGGGTTTTGCCTGAAGCGGCTACATTTTTTGGACAGCACCATTTTGCTGAGCACTGTGCAGCGGGTCTAAGGTTAGAGCAGGAGCATCCTGTGGGGCTGGTGTGGCCTGAGGGAGAGGCAGAAGGGGTAACTTATGGCCAGTCGGGTGCTACCATTAGCATGCCCTCATTAGCGACAGAGCAGTGCTGGTGGGAGCCTGTTCCCTGGTAATGTTAATCAGGTTGAAGAGGACAGCCTGGGGATTAGGATACTTGCATATGGGACACCTGAGGTCCAAATCCTGCTTTCAACAAACATCTGTTTTTACAGATGGGAAGAAAGCAGTAGCAGCTTGCAAGAGCTCAGTCACGTTGTGCTCACACTGTTCTGGTCCTCCTAGCAGAGGTAGGAGTACATCACCCTCACCTCAGGGGTCTTATTGACTGAAGGGATACTATGGTGACAACATGGATTTATTTTGTTCTTTCTAGCCTTTACATTTCTTATAAGTGTTTGAAAAACAAACCTTTTCAGGGCAAAGTCAGTGTCTCACAACATGGGATGAAATTTGTTGAGGGATTTGTTTGGTTGTTTTGGAAGGGAAAAAAACCTAAACATCTCATTTTTGGTTCAGAGCAAAATGAAATGTTTTCTTGTTCTTCCTGTTTAAAAGAAAGCACAATCACTGCCAGAGCATTCTGCCTACTGGTGGCAGTTCCCCCCCTTCATGTCAAGTTCAGGCTTGAGGTTTTGCTAGGCTCCCAGTCTGCTCTGCCAGGCTGTTCTTGATCACCTTGAAAAATCTTCATGGTTAGACTGTATAGGAGACCATCTTCCAAGAGCACTGCTGAAGTACTGACTACTTTCCTTGCAGCTCTTCAGAGGCCACCGGCTCACCAGAGAGGGCTGTCAGACTGTTGATGGGTTACCTCAGTGACACGGGATAGCTCTGCCCCACGGAGCAGATATGACCTTCCTGCCCTGCGCGCCTTGTTCCATGCTAATGTATAAAGCGCAGTGACATGCAGCCAGGGTTTGAGCAGAGCCGGGACAGCTAGTGAGAGTGACGTGGGGCAACATAAGGCCTGTAGGCAGGTTGCATCAGGTGCAATGTCAGGATCTGGGGAAGAGCAGTGCGAGGACAACCAGAAGCAGCATCATTAGGAGCGTGCCTAAGTGTGGTGGCTAAAACATTGTGCAGTGCAGCTGGCCTGGTCTAGGAGTTTTCTGTAGCTGCAGGTGCATCTTTAAAAGTGGATTCTTTGTGGTTAGATGTTTTGGGAGGTAACTCAACTGCATTTCTTAGAGTGTAACAGCCCAGTATAAATAAATCCTCCTTTCCGGGCACAATTTGGACGTGGTCAGGGAAGCATATAACATTCATTCTCCCACTCATGGCATTATGCCCTGCCAGTGTCTTGATTCAATCAATTGGATATTAGTTTGGATTCTCCAAAGCAGCCTTGCATGATGTTAGAAAGCAATAGATGCCAGTATAGATAAATATCTACAGCAGTGACCCTTCAATCTGACTTGATCAATCCAGAGTTTCTGTGACATAGCAACAGCTAACAGGACTAGGACTTATTCTCTTAGGAGCAGGAAAATAGAAATTGTGGTTGAATGGGAACTAAAGTCCATCTAGTTCTGCAACCAGCCAGTGACAAGGAAGGTATATAGTCGCATAGGCAGATAGAGACACTGTGCTCTCATTCCTTCTCCCACCTTTCCCCCCCCCCAACACATCAGGCACTTGCTGCTAAAAAGTTACACACTAGTTTAAGCCAAGGGTTTGGAGAGCCTTCCAAAATATTTTTTCTTGTTAAGTGCTAGGTGTGTGGTTAGCTCTCCAATCTCTTCTTCAGAGTTGGTGAGCTCTTGTCAGTGATTTCATGTGGCAGTAATTCTTCTGCCTGTGAAGAGGAATGAAAAGTATTTCTGCTGACTACTTTTGAATTCAAGGCAGCTAGTAGCCATTGTAGCCAGAGACCGCTCAATAAATCTTAGGAAATCAGACTCCTCTGAAAAATCCTTTGGAGTGTAGTGCTGTTGAAGCAATAGTTTAGTTGTGCCAAAGCAATAGGTGTCTGGTGCTTATGCTATGACTTTAGTACCTCTTTCCTTTTCAAATATAGAAGCAGCTTTTTCTAACTTTCTCATCATCACTTGTGTTTTACTTTGTTCTGGCACTTCATAAATAACCAGGAAGAGGCTTTTCTTATGCCTATATATTAGAAAAACTCTGCTGCAGTCTGTGGAGTTATCAGTGTAGAACCCGTGTGAGAACCTGGCCTGAAGTGTGTGGCTAATACAGTGAAGCGTATTTCACTAGGGTTTCTTTTTGAATGAACAGATCTCCCATGGTTCAAAACCACAGTAGCCACACTGGGAAGACTTGGCATCACAATGGCTTTTGAAATTGTGTATCTTGTGAACTCTGAATTGTACCCTACGACACTGAGGTAAGTCAGGTTGGGTCACAGGGGAAATCTATCAGCTGAAGCTCCCATAAATCCTTTAAATTTTTCCCCTGCTTTTCCCCATTCCCTGTTCCATTGCTTTTTAGTAGAACTGTGTTATCCAGAGCTTCCTAATTGAATAGTCACTGTTAAATGTGAATGGCATATACTATTGAGATAATTTTGGAGCTAATGCCTACTTCTGCCTGAAGTGCTGGTTGATCTGTTTGTTAGCGTCTCTGAAATAAATGACACCATTTTTATTTTGCAGAAACTTCGGTGTTTCCCTGTGCTCGAG